GGTGGTTGTTTTATTTCTTGATTGCAATATGGTGGTGGTAGTAGTAGTAGTAAAAACTAGTGGTTAAAATTTTATGTGTGGTGATATAATTTAAATAATGTGTGTGAGTTTTGATATGAATCTTTATAGGGGTAAATGAGAGGTGTAATTATTTAAACAATACATAATAAAAACTAAATGAAATTAATAATAGAACAAATATGGTGAAACTATAAGATATGTGTTTTTTTTTTTTTTTTTAAAAAAATGTAATTTTAAATCAAATTTAGTTATTTGATTTTTCATATATGTAATGACACTTTTAATAGATTTAAAAATATCACTTCGATATATTTGTGATTGTTAAACCCCAATAAAGTAAAAATCACGAATGTGTGTGTAATAATACGAGTTTTTACAAGCATAAAAATGATTTTGATAGTAATTTTTAATATAACAATGATATAAAAGAGGAACAATATATGAAATAGATTTTTTGAAAATAAAACTAAAAAATAGATATTATCTAGTTAAAAAATAGTAATTGAACATACCTAAAAAAAAAATATATATAATTCCTATTAAATAAAAAAAAAATAAAATAAAAATAATTAATATGTTGCTACATTAGAAAATTAAGAAATTTTATTATTATAAATAATTATTTATTACTTTATTAATTTTACAATTATAAGTTGTTACAAATAAATAAAAAAAAAAAATTATTTGTATTACAAATATTTTATATTTATAATAAAAATAATAAAGAAAAAAAAAACTATTGATGAATATGAAAATAACATAAAAAATATTAATAAAAAAAAAATAAAAAAAAAAACTAGTATCAAATCACAAAATAGAGATATTTTAAAGTGATATGGATAGCATCAAAAAAAAAAAAAGAATTGTTGTGTTGATTTTGTAGTGTTTTTTTTTTTTATTATAATTATTTCAATAATGATGGTATGAAAATTAAAAAAAAAAAACCAACAATCCATTGCCCTAAATGATTATTTTTATTATAATAAAATTATTTATAATTATATCTTTTTTTGAGTGTGAGAAAAAAAAACTGTCTCTTTCGTTAGAAGGAGCTTTGAATCATCGAAAAGGGGTGTGTGAATAACAAAAAAACAACGATAATTCACACAAATTATTGTTAATAGTTTTTTTTAAAGGGTTTCGTGGTTTCTATATAGTGTGTGAAAAGATTTTATTTTAAAATATGCAAATCAAAGATTGACCAATAAACTGATTGATTAAAAAATATCTTGTTTTGGGGAAAAAAAAATTATGAAAAAAAAAAAAATTATTTAAAAAAAATTATTTTAAAAAAAACTTTTTGCAAAACAATTGATTTATTATAATTGTTATAACAACAAACAAAACGATAATGAAAAAGCTCGAAAAAATTAAAATACATACTCTGCTTTGAATTTAATGTGTAACAAAGTAATCGTGGTATTGAAATAACACTGGTTTTTTTTTATATTGGTAATTATTAGTACAAAGGAAATTTTTTTTACAATTTTATAAAAATACAATTAAAATGATACAGGGTGATAGTAGTAGTATTATTAACAATATAAAAAAAAAAATAAAAACAAATATTATAATGTGTTTTATTATTTCTTGTTTGTGTTTTGTTAAATAAAATTGATCAATTTATTTACTTTTTTTTTTCATTTTTTTTTTTTTTTTTTTTAATCATTATTTTCTAAATTATTATTATTTTAAATCACACATCAAATTGGTTCAAAAAAGTCTTGTTTTTTTTATTGGAAAAAACAATTGTTCTCTCATATTTTGAACGTGAGTGTTTTTATTTTTATTATGATTGTGTGGGTGTGTGATAGTGGTGTTGTTATTTATAACAATTTTTAACACCTCTTACAAAACTTTTTTATTTTTTTTTTAGGACCCCTATAGCAGTAAGTGCCAATATGATTGTGATATTGACGTGAGAGTGTGCGTGTGTGTATGTGTGTGATGTGATGTGATGTGATGTGTGTTTAAGTTTTAGTCAAAGAATAGTTTCATTTTTAGTTTATTGTAATGTGTGATTGATACACAACTAAATGTTTTTCTTTTTTCTTTCTTTTTACACAAAGAAATAACAATAATTAAACATATTATAAAAAGATATATATCAAAAAAAAAAGTAGAGTTTCTATCTAACTGATTTGTGTTAAGTTAAGGGCCTATAAATAAGATTGGGGGAGATTTGTAAAAAAAAAAAAAAAAGAATCGTTGTTCCTTTGGTTCCAAAAAAAAAACTAAATGAAAAATATATGTTCATGTTAAATTGTTTAAAAATAAAACAAATAAATAAAATTAAAAAAAAAATTAAAATTTTTTTTTTTTTTTACAATTTTTTTTTTTTTTTTTTTTTGATGAAAAATGATTGTGAAAAAAAATTAAATTAATTTTAATTTTGGTTCAGTTATTAAATTTTTTTTTTAAATAAACATAAATAAAAGAAGTTAAATGTAATTTCTTGGTGATTTTAGAATCTTTGAAA